ACAGATTTTTTGTCATTATTCACTAAATAGTATAACAATCATTTACATTGTTTTAGGCATTATAGTTAATCTAGTAATCCTTTAAAGTATACAGGAGAATATCTATAGGTTCTGTGTAAATACTGTACCATTTTTTATGACGAACTTGGACATCCTTGGATATCAATTATCCATGGAGATGCTGGAACCAGCCCTTCATAGATACTGTGTGATGACTACACATATGTACACAGAGATTAAGAGAAATATTTTTCTGAATCATTTGAAAAATAGTTACTGACATAATGACATTTCTCCATAAAACCTTATAGTAGGCATCTCCCAGGAATAGGGACATTCTTTAAAAAAAAATAGCATTATCTTTAACAAGAAAAATAATAATTCCATATGATCTGCAGGGCACATTCAGATTTTTCCCAAATGTCACAAAAGTGACTTATAGCTACACTCTGCCTTTGATACGGGGGGGGGGGGGTTGAACCTAGGGCCTTTGCATGTAGCTACCTCTCTAGCCCCTTTTTATTTTTTTATTTTGAGACAGGCTGTCTCTAAATTGCTCAGGCTGGACTTGCAATTTTCCTGCCTAAGCCTCCCAGAAAGTTCTGGGATTATAAGTGTGTGACACCATGCCCAACTTTATTTTTGATCCAAGATTTGATTACATATCCAGGCTGTAAGCTTCACATGTTTCATTTGGTTGTGATACCTGTGTGTGTGTGTGTGTGTGTGTGTGTGTGTGTGTGTGTGTGTGTCTGTCTGTCTGTCTGTCTGTCTGTGTGTACATGTGCTGGAGAAAGAAACCAAGGCCTTGTTCATGCAAGGCAAGAACTCTTCCAACTGAACCATATCACTAGCCACCAGTCCTGTGATAACTTCTTAAATCTTTCTTAATACATGAATCACCTACCTTTTGCTTTCTGGCTTTTATTGTTTCTCTTGACCTTGACCTTTTCATGAGTTGAAGCCAGTTGTCTTGTCTGTTGTCCTGTAACTAGATGTGTCTGATTGTTTCCTAAGGCTGATTCAGGTTTTCCTGTTGGCACAGATATACAAGGATGGCGCCGTGACTTCTTATTGCATCACATCAGTAGATAAGAGATGCCTATTGTTTACCATTGGTGGTGCCAGCTTCTATCAGTTGGTGAAGGTGGTGACAGCCAGATGTCTCCACTGTAAAGGTGCATTTTCCTTTTGTGATTAGTAAATAACCTCAAAAACAAAACCTTGGCACGATGCAAATCCCTCCTACCAACTTTTCGCCAGATTGAATTCCTTTTAAATCTGTGGTGTTTTTTTTTGTTTTGTTTTGTTTTGTTTTTTTTGGCTTTTTGAGACAGGGTCTCTATGCAGTTCGGGCTGGCCTTGAGCTCACTTTGTGGCCCAGGCTGGACTCGAACTCGCAATGATCCTCCTGCCTCAGCCTCCCAAGTGCTGGGATTACAGGTGTGAGCGACTGCGTCCGGCCTATAAATCTGGGACCTTGAGGGTTTGTCTCACACACATGTGACAGTGGGGCTTGGAGGGGTCCATCAAGGGGCTCCTGCCAGCCTATGTGACTTCCTGGTGCCATTATTCATGAAGGTGGAACCTAGTGGGCTGGGACAGACAGTGGCAATGCTCAGGGTTTCTCTGAGTGATGGCTTCCTTATTTTAGTCTTGCCTTTCAGTTCTTTTTGCTGATTCCAAACTTCCCCCAGTGAGCAATTGTCCTGTTGCGATAAAATGAGAGGGCTCAGGTGTGCACAGGGCCATAGAGCTCAGTGCCTGGGGCTGATCTGTGGCCTTTGGGTCAGATTATAGGGTGCCCAAATCCCAGAACTTACCTTGGGAAGGGACCTGTTGTCTTTGGGTACTAGCCATTCCCCTGACCCTGTCTCACTTGCTTGAATTGCGTGTGGATTCTGTCTGAGCTGACACAGCCTCTGTGGGCTATGGTATTGCCTGTGCCAGCATGCTTATCTGCTCTGCCTCCCTTTTGAGGACATTGTTCCATCACTATGGCTGTTATACCTGCCAAGGTATAAATATGGGAAGTAACTTGGCCCCAGCTATGCACTGTCCAAATGCCTGGCGAGCTCAGGGTCTCTGTATGGGAATCACCCTGAGGCCTCCTAGACTGCTTCTGTTGTAGCATGTCCATTTGTATTGCTGGCACCAAGGGCCTCCATTTCGAGGGCATTTGTAGACTCTGATAGGAAAGGTTGCCAGAGTTAGTGCAAACTGTGTCAGAGTCCTTTCTTTCAAATTTTGAAAGAATCTGTCTTGTTTTGACATCTCAAAGAGAAAGCATAACTGAAGTTCTGGTCTAGATTAAGTTTCCTGTTCCTTTCCCCTCTGGGAGGGAAAAACAGGAGTAGAGCAGGGTGCTGCACAGTGATACAGCGAGTGCTGTGCAGGGGCTACAGCCTCCACTCCAGGCAGCTGGTGCCAGGGGAGATAGGATAACATGATTATTTTCAATTAGATTAATAAAGAATAATTAGATGTCATAAATCAAATAATCATAGGATATTGTCATGGGAAAAATATGTAGGTAGAATTAATTAGTTTTCAAATAAAGCGTTTATTTTAATTGCTTGGAATGATGGAGCCCTTAATTGCCGATGCATCATTCTGGCCTGAGTACTTCGGCTGTTGTAACAACGTGTGACGGGTTTGTTCCCCCACAGTTTTGGGGAAACAATAGAGGAGAACTTGATTTCATCACCTCACAATGAGCCTTCTGCTGTGAGGTTCTGGAAACTCCCGCCAGGCCGCAGGCAAGTGGCAAGTGTGGGTGGGGCTTCATAGGCACTGCCCGAAGCTAACATGCGTCTCAGTATGTTTTTATGCATGCATGTATGTATGTTCCTGCCTGTGCATGTGGCATGCATGAGTGTAAAATTTGGGACCATGTTTCTGTAGGAGCATTCAATATGAGCACATGTATATGTATTTATATGAGTGTGTGACTGCATATTTGTATGCATGTGTGTGTAATTATGCATCTGTTGAGGGTATGCATACAAATGTGTGCATGTGTGCACATAAGCATGGCCATATAGGTACACATGTGTGAATGTGAAAATATATCTGTGTGCAGGTGTACCTGTGTCTGTATTGCACATGGAACTTTGTACAGAGATAATTTATTGGATTCTGTTGCCTGGGCCCATGTGTTGAGAGGGACCTCTGTCCTGGACCTTAGTGCTTTCCTGCTGGATTAGGCTAAGATACTTTGGCGGAATGCCTTTTTGGCTCCTTGTGGAGCTGGGGGCCTGTAGCCTATATTTGGCAGGCATAATCTGAATAGGTAGCTAGTGACTCTTGAAGGCCAAGAACTGCCCCTTCGCAATGTCTTCTAGGCAGCCTCCCTGAGGCAGTTCTCTCAGTGGACCACAGCGGGGGCATGCACCTCAGGAACAGTGTGGGGTTGTCTTTCTTCTGCAGGAAGCCACCCTTATATTTGGGAACAGTGTGTCAACTTTTAACCAAAGGTCAGAGGACTTATTTGGCTTAACTCCATACTTCCCAACCCCATTAAAAACAAAAACAAAAGACCAACCACGATTTGATACTTTGTAAAGTACATTCATAGTGACTTCCTCATTCTCTTTGAAAGTCCTTGAGAGGCAGGGTCCATGGATGATCTGGCTGCTTGAATCTCTCACCAGGAAAGGTGGACTGTTGCCTGAAGTCAGAGCCAAGGCCCCTTCTCAAGCCTGTCCCTGTTAGCACCTGTACCAGGGCATAGGATCAAGGGCCCAGCCCTAGTCTCACCTCAGTGGCATAGGTGCAGACTTTCTAGGCACAGTCCTCCCTGCATAGGCCTTCATGGCCTCCAAGGAGCCTGACTTAGGCAGCTCTGTGTTACTAGGAACCCACACCACTTCTTATGAAGTGAGAGAAGACTAAGGTTGAGGGTAAGGTGGCCTTATGGGGAGGCAGCAGGGCTTAGAGAGGAGGGCTCTTGAGGGAGGCAGTGAAGCAAGGCCTGGATGGTGTTAGTTTCAGCCCAGCCGAGAAGCAGGACCAGCACTGCCATGTGCAGGGACTGGAATGAGAAACAGTGGTGTAGACAACAGGACTGGGGAGGCAGAGGGCGCCGGTGGTGTAAGGAAAAAATGATTCAGAGACACTTGTTAAAGCACCATAAGGAAAACATTACTCAGGCCATTGTGGTGGTACTGAGACAGTAACAGTGAGGCTTTGAAATGGAAGAGGGTGATTGGACACAGCTCCGAATATGGCATGGACAAGTGGAAATTTAGTCAAGTCAAGGTGTGGGTGTCAATATACAGGAGACATCAAGAGTGAGGGGGATTCTTTCTCAACTGACCTAACAGGATTCTGACTAAAGCAGGGCCAGATGATCAAAGACATCACACACTCACCAAGCTATTGAGGGTAGGCAGAGTTTTTACTAAAACTAGGTTTCACAAAGAAGTTCATACATGTGCCTAGACCTTGAATTAAGTTTGGTGAAGCAGAGACTCTTTGGGGGGGAGTAGGTGCTGGAGATGGAACCCAGGGCCTTGTGCATGCTAGGAAAAGAGCTATACTCTTGTTCTCAAGTAAAGGATCTTTGTCCCCAGACTGGACAAGAAGCCCTGAAGGCAGCATGAAGCTCTGTGCAGGGTACCCAGGGCCAAAGTGGCTAGGGGCAGGTGTGAATACCATTGTGCCTGCCCAAGGAAGGTCGAGGTTGGGATCTAAAGCCTATAGGCAGAATGGGGATTGTAGAGAGTTTAAAGATCCCATCAGGAGCAGCGACCAGAAGAGGCCAGTACTTAGGGAATGGGTGAGTGCCACCCACCTGAATGGGTTCCCATGGCCTGTGCAGGGAGCTGGTTCTTAGTCACAGAACCATTCAGCACTTGTGCAGAGCAGGAAGTCTCCATTCCCCAGGACAAACAGAAGGCCAGGGGTATTGATTGGATCAGCATCTGAGTTGCCTCTGCCCAGGCTGCCTCCTTTCAACAGAGGGCTTTGTCACTCATGTGTCCTTCTTTGGTCCCCAGGTGACTGCGCTCTGCCTAGCATGGCTGTTTCCCTCTTACCACCACCACCAGACCCACAGTTTGTTCTGCGAGGCACACAGTCAGCGGTGAATGCACTGCATTTCTCTGGAGGGACCCAGGCCCAGGGGTGCCCACTGCTTTTCTCAGGGTGAGTAGCAGTTACCTCAGCCTTTGCTTGGGGATAAAGTCAGGGAGTTGTGGGCTACCACAGCCAAGAACTCATTTGAGATTCTAGCATAGAGCTTCAAGCCACCAGTCCCTTCTATTTTCTGTCCTTTCAGGATAGACCCCCATAGAGAGGCAGGGACATATGCTCCTTTGTTCTGTGTAGCCTACATTCAAGTAGCAGGGCTCTCCTTCTCCTCTGGAGCAGGAGAGTTCCCTACACAGGCCTCTGAGGGCCTTCCCACCCACTTTCTCTGGAAGCAGCCAGTTTTATCCTTAATTTGTAATTAGACCTGTTGGCTATTAACCAAAACTTCCAGGGGTCAAATGCCCACATTTGCCAGGTGTCTGGTGTCTGGGTGGGTCCCAGCTTGCTCTGAGTGTGCACCTCACTCTGTTTCCTGCTCCTAACCTGTGATGGACTCCTCTCAACAGGTCTCAGAATGGTCTTATTCATATCTGGAGTCTCCAGACGCGGAGAGCAGTTGCCACCCTGGATGGCCATGGGGGCCAGAGTGTAACTTGGCTTCAGATGCTTCCCCAAAGTCCCCAGCTCCTCAGGTATGTCACAGCAGCACTAAAGCAGCCACTTTGTGGCCTCCTGTGGGAACCAATGGCACCCCAACACAGACCCTTCTGGCTCCACCTGTTTGCTAGGGTGAAACGGAACACTTCAAAGTTCAATTGAAAAAGAAGGAGAGGGGTTGGGGAGAGCCAAGTCAGCTTGGCTACAGCATGTGGAAGATACTAGGCCAGCCCCTTGTGCTTGGGGAGGCTGGCAGAGCCAACATCTGTTGGCTTTACCATCTTCACTGGGGCCTTTGTTTGCTCCAAGGCAGGACTGGGAGGTGACCCCTCAGGAGACTGGAGTGCTGGGGCTAGTGACATCTGGAGTGACCTCTACCAGCCCAGGTGTGACATAGCAGGGAGGGTCAGGCTTCATGAAGGGCACCTGGTTTGGCTTTGAGGTGGGCAGAAGTGACAGCACCATGGGTTAAGGAAGTGGAAGAGGGATAGGCTCAGTGACCAAGTGCCTGGGGGAACCAAGTGGGCACACAGGCCATAGACTTAGAGCTGGAACCCTGGCCATGTGTCCCTTACCAGATTGTAACTGCCCAGTTGACTCTTATAGTGGTTTGCTTCAGCCTCTGAGTGGATGCAATGAAGGGGCTGACTCCCTCCTGTGGTCCCTGCAGCGTCTCCTGTGTTTCTGCCCATCTAGGCTTCTTCCTCTAAGGCACTGGGCCCATGTCTATAAGATTGTGTGTGTGTGTGTGTGTGTGTGTGTTTTCTATACCCTACAAATCAATGGTGCATCTTGTGGCCTACACCCATCGAAGTGCTCACTAGTCCAGCCTCTGTTTATTGTAACAGTGGGTTTCTAGTGCCCTTGGCTTTTCCCAAGGCACTGTGTCCAGGTGCTGACTGTTGGTAACCCACCCCTTAACTACTGAGAAGAGACTGCTAAAAGGTATAAGAAAAGGCCCTTCCCACAGGCTGTGCTTCAGTTGGGGCAGGGATTGTCACTCCCGGTGAGGCTACATAGATTGTGGCCATAGAGAGGCTAGCATGGGAGTATCATGAGGGGCCATGAAGGTTTTATCCTTGAAAGACTCAAGGCTTTACAGTCTGCAGCAGTCCTGAGGCAGGGGCATCCCTTGGTAGTTTCTGGACCTGTTCTGGCATCATCACCGTGCTCTTCTGTAGATGACAGACCTAAGGATACCAGATGGGCAAAGAAGAAGCCAGAAGAGGCTAATGGGTGAGAGGCTGCTCTGCTTTCCATGGGGAGAGGGAAGGACAGAGTGTGGCGTGGATGGGGAGGGTGTGCAAGGAGCCAGTAACAGGTCTTCTTCTAGGGCCACCTTGCCAGAGCAAGCCATTGTCTTCAGTCACAGGGTTGTCTGCCCCATTTGGGAACTGCTGTTGCCAACTCAGAAACTAAATCAAAGTGCTACTTCCCTGAGCAGCCTTTTCTCCCACAGATTCCTGATGCTTCCCTCCTGGGACTTGGCATCCTTCATGTTTAGAGCATTATTGTGACACGCCTGTCCTCCTCCTCAAGACTCAGTGCCCAGGACACTTGGGTGCTGTGGAGTCTAGTCTGTGGAGGACAGGATTATCTGGCCTTTGATAGCCTGTCAAGCACTTTCGTACTACTCATGTTTGCCACCACTCAGAAGATGACTGTCAGGGCTGAGGGACCAGAGTTGTCAAGGAGGACATTGGCTCTGGCCCTGGGTGTTTTTGGAACCCTCCCCAAACCTTGCCTCCTTCTCAGCTCAGATGCCTCTGTGTGCTTTTGGCGTTTTCTTCATTGTCAGAGTAGACATCATTTCTAAATATCCCACTAAACCAATTGCACTGAGGTTGCCATTAGTAAATGTTCCCCAGGTTTTCAGATGAGAGGTAGGCCTTTAGGAGCTTCCTGCTCCTTCAGGGCCCAGGCACCTGGGTGGCCTTGAGCAGTCCTCCAGGTTGCACAATGCCAGACCTGGTGTAGGAGGCACACTAAGAGGGCAGCCTGGGGCAAGCATTTTGTGGTGCCTTGTGTCCCAGCCAGGATGGTGCTACAGACGCCCTCTTCAATAGGCTCAGCTCTGGGTCTGAAGGCTGCAAGTGGAGACTGCAGGTGTGGATTGCCCAGGTGCATTTACATTGCACTAGAGACCATACCCTGCAAGGCTACCTCGCCAGTGCTCAGCTGTGTTTGAAAGCCACATCTCTCTAAGTGGCCCTTGAAGTAGGCCATGTACTTTCAAGTGTGGGGAAGGATGGACTTGAGCTCCACCTACATCTGTGCCATAACAGCCTCTTTGGCAGAATATTTCTTTTACCTTTTTCATTGTGAAAAATAACATACTGGCACTTAGTAGAAAAGTGCAAGAAGGAGTGTACAGATAGTTGCATTGTGATAGAGGCAGCACCTGAGTAACCATTTCTTGGTCAAGAAGGGCAGCAGTCCCAGCCCCCTAAGTTCCCCAGCTCCACCTGCCACTCTCACAAGTGCTATCTACCCTCCACAGAGGTAGACGGTAGTTCCATACCTTGTTTGTTCTTCCTTTACTGTCTTAATATTTGTCTCAGAAAAGCACAATCTGTTTTTTTTCCTTGAGAAAACTGGAACTATAAAAAAGAATGCCTTGGGGCTGGGGATTTAGCTCAGCGGCATAAGCGCCTGCCTTGCAAGCAGGCAGTCGTGGGTTCGATCCCTGGTACCGATAAAAAAACGAAAAAGACAAAAAAAAAAAAAAAAAAAAAAAAAAAAAAAAAAAAAAGAATGCCTTTTACTTCTGATTTTGTCTTATCCTAATCTCTGCAAGATCTTTGTGGTATGTGTAGCTACAGCTAATTGTTTCCTATGTGGTATCCAATATATGTATCTGCTCACCCATTGGTGATCAAGTTGCCCATTTGGGGTTGTTATGAACAAAACTGTCAGGAGGAGTCATCTGAGTCTTCTTGTGCCTGGGATACACATGCATACTTACTTGCAGCTTAGGCCCCTGAACCCAGAGCTGTGATGTTTGGGCCATACACAGCACATGTGTATGCTGGACTTACCAACAGACACCCATCTGTGCCTCCTAAAGCAGGTGTGCCACTCCCTTAAATCCCCCCTGTACATGGGCCCTTTTAAATGTGCTTTGATTTGAGTTGTTTTCTAACCCTGATGGACCCTTTTCTTGTGTTTTTCAGTCACTTAGATAAACTCTGTCTTAAATACTGCTCCATCTCTGTGTGAAGAGTGTTAAGACATGTAAAAAGGGAGAAGGTGATGCAGGGTGGCATCCAGGAGTGCCTAGGCTGGGGTCATTTGAATATTAGGATAATATCATAACAGCAGAATATCTCTTGCCACAGGATCATAGAACCCTTGCCAGACAAGGGCAAACGTGTTTTGCAGTGGACAGCTCAGCAGGAACCATATTGACCTGGTGGTAGATTGTATTATGTGCCCCTTATTTTGATGGCCAAGGAGGTTGCAGCATCCTCCTCATGGCCTCCCTCCAGAAACGTGGCCTGGGTCTCATCACCAGGCAGTGTCCCCTAGGGAACAAGAGCATGCTGGTGCCATGAGGGGTAGAAGGCTGATGGCTGATGAAGTCCAGCAGCAAGTGCAGTATGCTCCCCATGTGGATCTCAGCAGGCCACTGCAAGACACTGAGAGAGGCTGTGTGTCACTGAGGTTAGGGGTGTTAGTGATGAGGTAGTGTCCTTATGTGAGGAGGGGCACAGGTGTGAGTATATGGGACCCAAGAGGGACTGAGAGGCAGCTTTAGGAAAGTAGGTCATCATGGAGGTCTTGTGGACATCTCCAAGCTATCCTCGTGACTGTCTGTGGGTACAAAATAAAAAGTTACAGTCATCTCTTGTTTTATTTTGTTTGGCTTTTTGAGACAGGATTTTGCTATGTAGTTCAGGTGAGCTTTATACTCACTATGTAGCCTGGTCTTGAACTTACCACAGTCCTCCTGCTTCAACCTCTTGAGTGCTGTGATTATAGCTAGTTTTCTGGATAGTTGTGGTTATCTCTTGGTACCCAAAGGGTTCTGAGACCCACTAAAAATAGCAGAACCCATGGACATTCAAGTCTATTTTATAAAATGGTATATTTCCATAGAACATATGCAGATCATCTTTAGATTGCTAATAATACCTCATGCAGTGTAAATGCTACATAGGTGATAATAATGTATTGTTTGAGGAAAGATGACAAAAAGGCTGTATATGGTCAGTCCTGATGCAGTATTTTTTTTCCCCAAATATTTCCAGTTGTCAATTGATTCCACAGTTAGAGTTCATGGGTACAGAGGGCTGACTGTCCTTGACAAGAAGCTAGTTGTTTATTCCCTGCCCAGTGAACGTCAGTACTGCTAGGCATGAGCATGATGCTTGGCTGCCTTCCCTACCTACCCTAGTCCTCCCTTGTGCCAAGGACACCCTCCTGTTGTCCCTGATGCCAGGGTTCCATCCTGGGCCCTGCTGTCCTGCAGTCTCATGCAGGCCATGTAAATCTGAGTCCGCCAAATATCCAGGCGTATTTAAACATCAGCTTGGCAAATTCTCTGGAAACCAAGTAAAGATTGATATGTATCTGCTCCGGGCCAGCCCCAGGAAGACTGCCCTCCATGAGCCAGGCTCTCCAAGGCATGGCTGCCTCATATGACATGGCCACCTGTAGAATGTTTGTGCATGGTAGTAGCTCAGAGCAGTTTTGTGCAAATTGTTTTCCTACCAACATCTCTTCTGTTTTAGGGTTTGCTGAGTTGTCCTGGCTCCTTAGTCTCCTCTATTCTGAGATCATTTCTCTGTTCCTTGGTTTGTGTAACCTCAACATTTTTGAGGAGTACTGCTCAGACGTTTTGCAGAAAGTCCCTCAGCTTGATGTTCTATCAGGCTTAAAAGAGTGCTATGGGTTTGGGGAGGAAACCCACAGAAGTTAATGTTCTCATCCCAGGACAATCCAGGGTACCAGGAATGCGTGATGTCCCCTGGGCTTGTTGCAGCTGAGGTTGACTTGATCATTTGGGTCAGGAGATGTCTTCTGGGGTCCACCATCAAGATCCAAAGGTTGTGGGGGTAGGGGTGTGAGTATTATGTCAGTGCTCAAAAAATTTAGAATTTTGGAGCATTTCAGATTTCATGTTTCTAAATTCGGAATGCTCAACTGATAGACTCTGTGCAGCTGTTGTAAAATCTGAAAAACTGAAATCCAAAACACTTCTGGACTCAAGCATTTTGAATAAGAGATCCTCAACCTGTGTTGCTTCCTAGAGTCCTGAGCAGCAGGTTTTGCCCGCACTGAGGAGGAGAATTGTTGCATCTCCTGAAGGCAGGAGATCCATGAACATGTGGGCCGGTGGTGTTGGAACCAGCACCATTAACTAAGGATATTTAGAGGGAGACAATTTGTGCCTGCATAAATACCATGTCTCTCCTTAAAGTTAGCATTTACCACTGGGTTCTGGCTGCAGGTTCCTACTGAGGTGTTTTCATGGGAACTTGCTTTGGTAGCAGGGCTCTCTGTTTCCCTCATTTCGCCTTACTTTCCTTTTATTAGAATTCTACTTTAATTGAAACCTAGGAACCTGTGAGGAAAGCTTTTCTTGCTTGTTTATTTATATGTTTACTCATGAAAATAGGATTCTTTGGGACTCATTTCATTCTTTGGGTTAAAATTTTAATGCTACCAGTGTTTATCACTCAGATTTTTCTAACTTTGAGGCCTCTATCTTTTTGATGTGCCACTATCTTTTACTTTATTTTTTTAAAGTATTTCTATTTTTTTCTGTTGCTACATGAAAGATACTTAAAAGTCACCTTGGTTTCTTCCCTCATCCTAGCCTACAGTCATTATTTCTTTAGAAATAAAGTGGCTCCTATATTTGGAGAATGGGATTAGTGACCCCTGGATGCTAGAATTGTGCTTCTAGGTGCATTGGGTGGGCAATGCTGGGAGACACCTAGGTACACGATGCCCACACCACTGTGCATATCTACATTCATCTCTGTCTGTCTCTGTGTGTGTGACATACACTCTTGCTGGCCTCTGGTTTCTGATAATGACCCCAACAGACCCATTTGATCTCTAGCTCTCTGTGAGGAAGAAGTACAGTTCTCACTATTGACCGCTGTTACATGTCTGCTCCACCCTAGTGGAGCTGTGCAGTGTTCAGAACTGCCGCTTCTCCTACTGTGAGAAACTAAATCAGCTGTGGGGGCATATGTCTGTCATTCCTGCACTCTGGGAGGCTGAAGGAGGAACATCACAAGTTTGAGCCCAACCTGGGCAATTTAGTGAGGCCATATCTCAAAATTAAGAAAGAGGAAAAGAGAGAGAGAAAGAAAGAGAGGAGAGAAAAAGAAAGACAGGAAGAAAGAGAAAAGGAAGGGAACGGAAGAGAACGGAAGGAAAGGAAAGGAAAACAAAGGGAAGGGGAGGGGAGGGAAAGAAAGGAGGGGTGGGGTTGTAGCTCCAGTACAAAGGTTGTGGGTTTAATCTCCAGTACCACCAAAATAAATAAATAAAGAAGAGGAGGAAAAAGAAAGAAAACCACTTAGCACTTGGGCCACTGTATTTCTGCAGTTACATTTCTTTTTAACCTTAAAGCATCTGACAGCCAGAACATTCCCTGGACCCTTCAGGTCAGCTTCCCCTCCTACTCCACAGGGCAGTGGGTCATCCACTTTGTCAGTGTTTGGTCCTTCCAGGGCTCCCAGCATCTTCCTCAGTTGACGCTTTCTGCCACTCACACAGTGAAGTGCACTCTGTGTGGTGTGGTTCTGTGGGTCTTGCAGATACAGAGTCCTGAAGTTGCTTCCCCAGGACAACAGTCTGTTGCTTTGCTGGGCCCAGAGCTGCCATTGTGGGAAGTTTTCTCCATAGTTCTCTACCTGTTTCGTGCCTTTTCTAGAATGTCACAGGAGTGCAGAGCCTTTCAGATCTGGTTTTTTTCACTCAACAGATCATTTCTGAGCTTCCTCTAGGCTGTTGCATGGATCAACAGTTGGCTCCTTTCTGTTGCTGGTGATATTCCATGGTGTGGACAGGCTGTTTTCCTGTTGGAGGATGGCAAGGTTATTTCCTGTTTGGGTGATAATAGGTAGAGCTGTTCTAAGCATTCTTGTATGGTTTTATTTTTTTAATTTTTTAAATTTTTTAAGTCTTTTGGTGGGAGGGGACTAGGAATTGAACTCAGAACTTTGTGCTTGTTAGACCAGTGCTGAGCTAAATCCGCAGCCCTCTTGTATGGGTTTTTTAAATGTAGGTTTAAAATTTTCTTCAAGGGCCGGAGATTTGGCTCAGTGGCATAAGTATCTTCCTGGCAAGTGCAAGGTTGTGAGTTCTATCCCCAGGACCAGAGGAAGGAAGGAAAGAAAGAAAGAGAGAGACAGAGAGACAGACAGAGAGACAGACAGAGAGACAGAGAGAGAGAGAGAGAGAGAGAGAGAGAGAGAGAGAGAGAATTTACTTCAGAAAAGACCTGAATGAGACTGCATGAATTTTTTTTTTGGTACCAGAAATCAAACTGATGACGTCACCCTTGCCAGGCAGGTGCTTATGACACTGAGCTAAATCCCAAGCCTCAACTGCAGGATTTTTAAATTTAACTCACAGAGAGAAGAAAGAAAGGTGGGAGGGTGGTCAGTGCATCATTGGGATAGGAAGCAGTAGGAGGGATTTGGGAGGTTGGTCAGGGGACTGAGCACCCTTGTCTTCAGTCCACTGTGAGTCCTGGCACTGGTGAGGCTCAGGTATAAGTTCCAGATGAAAAAGCCCTGCTCAGCTAAGGCTCCCAGCCTGGAGTGATCAGTACTCACCATAGCTGCTCTCTAGGAATGTGACCACCTTCACCCTTAAGGAGCTGAGGGCCCAATACTTGTCTGGGATGGTATGTATGTGCTCATTGGGTCTCAGAGCCTTTTCCTTTTGCTTTGTCAGTCAGGGTCGGGACCTGCGACTGTGCCTGTGGGACCTGGCAGAGGGCCGAAATGCTGTTGTGGACTCTGTGTGCCTGGAGAGTGTGGGCTTCTGTAGGAGCTCTGTTCTTGGTGTTGGTCAGGCACGCTGGATGCTTGCAGTGCCAGGGAAGGGCATTGACGAGGTGAGACCAGCACTCCTGATGCCTTTTGTTCTGAGAGTCACTAGATACTGGCTTTCTCTTAAACAGAAGTGTTTGTCCTGCATGCCTGGTAAAGAGGCATACCCGGCTGCCAATTGGGCTCTGAAAGCTGCTGTGTGTAGGCACAGGGCTGTAGCTCTGATGTCCTTAGGCTGCTGCACAGCTGGCTTTGCCTTGGCCTGATTGTCTGTGAAGCAGGCTAAGATGAGCCATCCTTCTAGGGCAGTGGTTAGAGTCAGAAGGGGCCAAGGGGAGGTGCTCTTGCCTTGGAGGCCTTGGAACCCAGTGGAATCCCAGAGCAGCCAGGGATAGCTGAGTGTACAGGCCTAAAGCCACCAAGGGTGGTTGGAGGAGAGATCACTGAGTTCCTCTGGGTACTTAGACAAGGCAGGAGGAACCCTTGAGTAACTGGCAAGAGAAAGGAGATGAGAAACCAAGGCCCTGGTAAATTAGAGTGCAAGGTACTATAGTGGCAGTCATATAGCCTGGGGAGCAGAAGAGCAGAGGAGTGTGTGAGGAGAGGACTCTTAGGAGGCAGGGAGATCACTGTTCAGGCACAGGAGAGTGATAGGAGATATTAATGATACGTGGCTGGTCAGGTTGCAGAGTCCATACCTTAGGGACAAAGGAAAAATAATCTATGAAGGAAGGGGTGCCCAGGATATAAGGAAAGGAGGGACATGGGAAGCCAGGGCATAGGACAGCATAAGGGGTTGGGGGTGATAAGACCACAGGCCCAGCTTCTTGGCAGAATGGAAAAGGATCTAACAGTGGTGATTGTCAGGCTTGGTAAGTGCACAGGACCATTGCTGCAGGGGCAGGAGCTCCTGGGAAGGGGCTCTTGTCCACCCCCTTGTAGGCTCATAGTCCTTTGTGGCCAGTGGTGCTAGGCAGGGAAGCTCCCACCAGTGCTGGCAGATCAGCCTAAACACTTGGTTAGGCTTGGCCCCCACTCAAGAAGACATTTTTGTCTTCTAGCAGAGCCGGTTCATAAATAATGAGATAGAAACAGGCATTTATTTGTTCATGATTACATTTAAATCACCAATTAGGAGCTACATACACTTTCCTTGCCAATTTGCCAAAAACCTGTTAAAGGTTTTATTAATGTGAGAAGGAGGGGCATGCTCCTTCCTGGATGGCGGGAGCAGGCGGTGCCAGCTTCTCCCCAGCTGCAGACCCATGCATGCCATTCTGAGTTTGAGAGAGTTCATTCCCAAGGGCGGTGTGGCTAGCCATCCTCTATGTGTTCTCATCTCAGCCAGGCCCAGGCCACTGGTTGGTGCATGGTTAGCCTGCTACTTCCCTCGCTGGAGGCCATCCCCTGCATGGTTTTAGCCGGCTTCCTGTCCCCCAGTTCTCCCAGTACAGGCAGTATTGGTATTTTTCAGGAACAGGCGTCTAGGAACCTTGCATGTCCTGGGAATATGGTTGTTTTCCACATTCTCACCTGGAATATGCCTGGACTGAGCCCTGGAAAAGCATTGCTGGCCTACGCCCAAACAATGCCTGGGGAGCATATACCTGCCCTGCTTGGCCGTCTGGGTGGCCACACTTGCCCAAACCTAACCTTTTCCTTCTGGAAACAAAACTCACAGTTGGGTGCCAGATGGAAAGCACCTACTGTCTATAGGCTTTGACTACAGCAAGACCAGGAGCTCTTCCTCTGATAGCACAAAGCCTGGATCAGGATGCTTGGACCAGGTGGTTGTGTCCAGGACCTGTGCTCTGTATTTTCTTGCATGAAGTATCTAAGTCAAAAAAGTGCTATTCCCATATTCCCTCCTGTCCTTTCCTGCTTACGCCCTCAGGGATTCCTGTCCCCCATTTTGGCCCCCTGCCCTCAAGTTCCTCAGCAGTGCTACCTGAGGGGTCTTCTTGAGCCCACAGGTCAGAAAGCTCTCTGTTATGAACTGTGGGCTATGCAAAGTATGTGTCCTATAATTTCTAACTTCCCCCAGATACTCCAGGAACATGTGTGTACTGAGGGCTTCTTCCGCTTGCAGCATTTGGATCTTAACTCAATCCTTGCCTGGTGCCCACTCCTCCAAGCTGTGCTTTGTACCTATAGCTCTTCACACAGTGACAGTGGCTGATTCCACAAGAAAAAACTTGGCAATAGAGTCCATATTATCCCACAGAAAGTAGAGAAGGGTTCAGAGCCCTACCTCTGGCTCCTCCTGGTCCATCGTTGCTCTGGCATCATCTTAGATCTCCTGGCTTTTGGCAGAGTGCTTTCATCAGGGTCCCCACATGGCTTAGCTTTGGATGTATGCACACATGTGTGTTTGTGTGCGTGTGTGCAAGACTTACCTTTTGTAGCAGATGGAACAGAGCTATGAGCTGCCTCTGGTATACAGCAGGGGCAGAGGCCTAGTTCTCCAAAGCTGAGCCATTACGGGGACCCTGGTAAGAACACTGCCCAGAGAGTACCACAACCTGGCCCATCTTTCAGAGGTGGACATGTTAACAGGACTCTAGTTGAAGGACCAGGCTGCATGTTCAACTCTCTGCTGTCTGGAGGCTGCCTAGGCATAATCCTCCAGCATGCATATGGCACACGTAGAACTCAGACCTAGGTGCCCAGGCACATTTTCCTATGTAACATAGTAAGGGCAGTGCAGCTCTCACCTGCCCAGCCACTGGCCCTTCAGACATTGTCTGCTACCTTAGCCCAAGAGGCCAGTCCAGCTAGTGTGAGTCCTATCCAGTTGACATCCCAGCCTCCGTGGACCACAGGATCCTCATGGATATCCAGGGGATGTTCTCTGTTGGCTAGTCTGCCAGTCAAGTTTGGCTGCACATTGATATTCTTGACACATTATTGGTAGGGGAGTTTTGGGCCAACATCCCGTACCCTAGTTCACAGAGTCATGACACAGGGCACAGACATACTTGGCTAACAATAGAACCACTCAACACCACAAACACAAGGCAGGGGAGCATTTAACTGTCCAGTGGCATGTGGGAGCACCCTGTTCCTCTGAGCTTGCAGGAGGGGATGCCCTGTCCTGACTAGGTGGTTGAGGGAACCCAAGCACTTAGGGCCACAGGACTGCTAAGGGTCCAGTTCCTGTCTTTGGTTTCTAGTGATGCAGTCTACTTCTTACAGCCTTGGCCATCCCCTAGGGATGGTGCTGGGCAGAGTCTATCCTGGATGGTCAGTAGATTGGCAGCCTATTCAAGTTGATAGGAATGCCTTTGAGGCCTGGATATATGGGCCACAAGGCCCAGGTGCAGAAGAGCCCAGCACTCAGGCAGCCGGGATATGCAGGATAGCAGTCAGGGCCTGGAAATCCAGAATCTGCCTTTGGCACCCACATCTTGCTCATTTCTTAGGCTTTTGGTGGTTTTAGGTGCTATTGTGCATTTGATACTCCCAAGGTTGCATAGCATAATTCCTGTATCAGGTAAAACCTTCATCAAGAAAGGTGGCAAGCAGAGAAGGGAGAATGACCCAGCTAAATTAGGACTGGCTGAGCCAGGCCTCGTCTACCCTGATGGCAAAATCAAGAGACGTCAAAAGCAGCCACCAGTCTGTGACAGGCCAGTCACTCAGGAATGATGTGAATATTTGTTGTGCAACGGCTCTGCAGCACCCAAGCCCATGAGCCTGTAAAGCCTAATTAGGAGAGTCGGCTCCCAGGTCCTACAGGGAGGGGAGCAGACAGAAACTTGCTGCAACCTTGGCTAATCGCTTTAAAAGTCTCTTGTTTGTATAGCACAAACTTAACTTGGCATCAGCCCAAATCAACTTGTTTTCTTACTGTCAGGTTCAGATTCTGGAGATGCCATCCAAGACGTCAGTGTGCACCCTGAAGCCGGAGGCAGATGCCAAGCCAGGCATGCCTATGTGCCTGGGGCTGTGGCAGGTAAGGCGAGCATACGCCAGCCCCGCCCTGCAACCACGCCTGCCAGCTGTGAGTCAGGCTCCATTCAGGGTTTGATTTGTTGTCAAATCAATGGGGATTTGGAGAACATGTCGCAGGCCACTTTCTATGGCCTCAGTATCCTCTGCCAAACCTGTGCTTCCTCTGGTAGCTACTGCTACTTTGAAAAGCCTCCTGTAAATCCTCAGCTCCTTCCTCTGGGATGCCTCCTGCTGGTGGCATTGAAGAGGAGACAGTCAGGTCAGCCCTTCTTCTGTCTGCCTGGATCTCAGACTGCCAAGGCCAGAAGGGAAAACGCTGACTAACCTTGGCAAGCCCACTCCGCCCTTGCCATGCTTGGGATTAATTTGGTTACCTCTTTACCTCTTAGAAGTAGGAGTGGGTTTAACACAATGACTTTCCCTGAAGCCATTTCCTACTTTTTCTGTTATGCTTTCATGTTAGAGAAGGTCAGGAGCACTTCAGAGCTGGCAGCCAAAACTGGGCACAAGTGGGAGTGACAGTCTGGGATCTGGGAGGGATCCTCCCAGCCTTTCTCAAGGTGAGGCATGCTCCCATCACACGCCCAACACAGCTGGCTCAGCTGTGAGGTTTCTTCTCCTGGGGTCATCCATGCCTAGGGCTGCAAAGCATATGGTTTAGGGTATTAGTCTCCAAAGAATCCCAGAAGCCTCAGCCTTAAGCCTCTTCACTGGTGCAGAAACAATGGTGTAAAAGTCATCGAGCAGCGCCCTCTCAGGAGCAATTGGTGATCCCTGGGCCATCTTTCTGGTTCTGTTCAGTGCTGAGAGCTGCACTTTGCTGGACTGTGGTCAGGAGGAAGTCCCTCTGAATTCTTCTTAAGCACTAGACAAAGTTAGGAGATACCTGCACGCCCCTTTCTGAGACTCACATAGGTACTATGCTTCTGTCTGTCCATGTGAGAAGATTGATGGCCTTTCCATTTGGCCCCTCCTCTGCAGTTTCTTGATTGAGAAGGTTCAGATTGGAATTCGGAATTTCCAATAAGCTGATCCTAGGTCACTATCTCTGCTACTCAGCCACAGAGAGAAGCCCCAGGGAGTTTGAGGTGGTGGAGACTTTGGAGAGACTCACCCTAAAATAGCAAAACTCCTGGAGCCAGCAGATTTTTAGTTATGCCTCAGGGATGGCAGCAGAGCCTGGGTCACTGTCTTCCATGTGTCCAGACAGGCAGACAGGGCTCCCTGAGGGCGCATGGGTGTGTTCCTGGGAAGAGAAGGTCTCCCCATCCCACCTCCCAACCAACCCCTGCAGAAGTGCCCCAGGCAGTAACTATAGTGCTCTCAGTTCCTGGGGCTGGAGCTCCCCACTGCTCCCACTCCTGTTCTGCTCCCTGGGAAATGTGGGATGTTGCATAATCATGTAAAAGTTCCAGCAGAAAAATGTTTAGAAAGGGATGTACAAACTTGTTAAGGTAATTAAGGTAGTTGACAGAAGGACAAATCACAGTTTTGTTGGTAATATGGATGCAACATGAAGCCTTAAGAAAAGCCCACATTAACTTCCTTTTTTCTCCCCAAGCCTGTAGGTCTAGGTTATAAACTTAATCTGACTGTGGCAAAATGACCAGACTTGACGTTTTTTTCTGTAACACGTAGTCTATTCTTATTTCCCAACTCAAAGCAACCAATCTGTATTATTAGAATAATTACTGCATAAAAGATTAGGATGTAATCAGCCCTGAGGCAGCATCACTGGCAACAATTCTCAGAGCAGCCCCCAGTGTTACCCTCAATGTTGAGGTACAAAGAGTTGGCTGCTCCCCATGGGAACCCTGATACTGCATACCAAGGGACAGGAGGAGCTGCAGAGTGAGTCTTTGTTTCCAAGTCTCAGTTGAGGGAGAGGGGAGGAGCCAGAGAAAGCAGATCAGCGTAACTTCAGAGCCTCATGCCTACAGAGGTCAGGCAGCATGTGTAAGCACTGTCTGACCTATGGAATCTATCACTGGGAAGCTCCAGGTACAGCAGAGGGCGAGGTGGCTGAAACTAGAGGACAAGCATGGAGACTCCAGCTATCCCATGAAACATGACAGATGGACAGTCACACATAGCCCCTGAATTAGCTGTGATGCTCAGAATTTAGAGCCCACAGTTTAAAGCAGAGACTGACCAGAACCAGTGTCAGTGATGAAAGGAGTCCCTAGAGACCTCATCTCAGCAAACATGGAGGAAAGAGTCCCATGGGGAAGACAAAGGGAAGGCTCAGCCAAGGTTACTGGAATTGGCACTGGGTGCTACCAGAGCACAGTGCCCCAAGGGAGTGACTCTCATGGTCCCAGGTGAATTCTTTGAAATTAGCCTCTGGGGCAGGGTCTAGCAGGTGGCCATATCTTGGCTGGTAGCAGAGGCACACATATTTCTGATTAGACTTCAAAGGTTCCAGGCTTCTCCCACCTGGCTTCTTTGGATACCACCAGGGCTGCTTGCTCAGAGTGACCTACTTGGAAAGGTGTGCCTACCCATGAGGTGCTGCCATGCAGATGGCCCAACTGTTTAATGAGCCCTACATCTATCTATGGGAGAGGTGTGGCATAACATACACGAATCACCTCCGAGCAAGTACTCTGAAAATGTCAGCATGGGACTCTTTCCTGTGATTGAAGCATAGGAACAGTACAGCTGCACAGCCAGGCCTTCTGCAGGGTGGAGGCAGGGCTAGCTTGGAGCACTGGTACACTTGGAAACTCAGGGCAGTCCAGTCCTGCATATCAGGGTCACAGTCAAAAGGTACAGCTTGGGCTCCACCTGGAAGATAACTCCAGGTGATGTCTGAGCAGAATCACTAAAGAGGATGCACAGCAGCAGCCTTATGCCTCCTTCCAGGAGCCTCCCTCTCCTGTTGTGTGTTTGAGAACTTGAAGTCCTATCAGGACATAATCAGCTTACAAGTCATTTCTGGTGGCTTTCTCTCTTCCAGCTCTGGCCTTGACAGGTTTGCTTGCCTGTGTGCAAGTCCAGTGCTGTGTGCTTCTCACTTCTGGTGGCATCCTCCAGCCCAAACGTGGTTCTCCCAGCTGACATCAAACAATCCCCAGCCTCAGCCTCTCTCTCTTGACCCTGAGGACTCTGCCATTTGAAGATATTGACCACTGGTTAAATATGCACCCTGGACCTCTTGACTAAACCAGGTTTCCTTGCTCAGCCACATGAAGTTTCTCTTAGGCCTCTGCTTAGTGCCAGAACTGATGGCTGTGTCCCCCAGGGTGACTTGGAATCCTGCAGCGCTCCTCTTCTGTAGTTGTTTCAGAGGCTAAATAAACGAGGCGTCCGCCCAGGGCACAGAGCCCTCTGACCCTCACCCTCATTCATCATGATAGCAAGGGCTGCTAGAGTTCCACGAACACCATGCTTCCAGGGGTGGGGGCTTCCGCAGCCACGTTGACAAAGCACACAAAGTTCATTTTTCACAGAAATGGAGCTTGTGATTTTCCTGGCTGGGGGTTCTAAACAGGTGACCAGTCCCAGCAAGGCGTGGCCTCAAATCTGTGGCAGGAAAAATGGGTCCCTGACAGCCCCTGAGGCCTTGGTAGGTGCCCAGTGCCTCCCCTTTCAGGCATAAACCAGTGCAGGCAGGAGTCAGGGTCTTAGGGCTGGGGTGCCCCCTGGGTGTACAACAATGATCTTGCCAGACCCATGGCACTGGTGTTAGACACCAAAGAGCCTCCTGGGAGGTGGGAAGGTACTGGGGTATAGAGTCTCAGGACTGTTAGCACCATGAAAAGCTTAGGAAATTGCTCCCTGACTGTGCTGTCCCAGCTTTGCTTCTTTCCAGAGCCCTGTTTTGCTAAAACTCACTGGAGGCCAGACCCTTCTGGGAGCTGACATTGTGCTGTTCCCCACAGGCAGAATCGAGTCCCCGCCCTTTCCTTCTAGCTGGCTATGAGAATGGATCGGTGGCCCTGTGGGATGTCTGGGAGCGGAAGGTGTGCAGCCATGTCTCCTGCCACGAGGAGCCCGTCATGGGCCTTGACTTCGACTCTCAGAAGGCACGGGGCGTCTCTGGCTCCGCAGGGAAGGCACTGGCTGTCTGGAGCCTGGATGGGCAGCAGGCCCTGCAGGTCAGTGTGCTGGGCCCCGAGCCTCATTTATCCTGCTCTGCACTAACAGTCTGATAGGCTGAAACAATATTTAGGCATGAAGAGGAGCTGCCGCAGATCCCTGGCTAATTAATCACTTGGAGGCGGTGCAGGCAGGCCTGTCCAAGACTGTCGCAGGAGGAAGGGGGTGTGGGTGTAGGCCAGCCTTTCACATGGTTTGGGTTTCTCCCAGACCTCAGGTTAACAGCCATCACGTCTTGTCCATCTAGAGAAAGGCACGTAGAGTACAGGCAGACCCAAACCACTTTGTGAAAACCCAGAGGAATTTGGCCAGTAAGGAACTGATTAATCAAAAACAAAAACAAAACAAAACAAAACCTACAGAAAGCTCCATGGAGCCATGGCCCCCAGTGGTGGTCTGCAAGTTGGGGCCCTAGATGGCTGTTGCTCACTGCCAGCAAGAAAATGTGTGGGAGGGGCATGAGGCTTGGGGTTGAATGAGACTTGCTGGAGATCTTCCCGTGATGTCTTGTGGACTGTCCCAGCTGGTGTGGCTTGAGGATGGCCTGGTATCTACTCTGGATCTTCGAGCACAGGACCCAGCACAGGGCGGCCCAACCTGCATGGTTTGTTCCATATGGTTCCGGAGAGCACAGCTCTTCAGGGTCCTGCCCAGCAGAGCCCCGTGAGGAGAGGGGATGGGAATGTGGGATCCAAGGCAAGCAGGGCATGTGTTCACACCTCGTGGGTACTACTTTATGCTTGGAGGACAAACCTGTGCAACACAGTGAACTCAGAATAAATCCGTCCCCTCTGTCTGTCCATCTTTCCATCTTCAGTGTTCTGGAGAGGCCAGTGAAGGCCCTGGCATCAAGGGCAGAGTTTCTCATGCGTCCACCTAGAAGAAGAGGTATCTAAGGCCTGAGAATGGTGGGCTGGGATGGTGAGTGGGTCAGAAAGCCATAATGCTGATGGTCATTTTTAGAATTGGAGGCTGAGTCACTCAGGGTACTGAGCCTGCATATTCTGAGTTCCCACTCGATATGTATGGGAATCTCTTCCTCACATCCCTCCCTCCTGCCCCAGTAGTTGTCCCACTGTGAACTGACACTCATTGGCCTGACTTTGCAAAGAACTGAAGCTCTGGCAGCTTCTCCAAGTACTCTGTAGCTCCCGTCTAAGCTCCCTGCACCCCAGGTCCCAGAAGAAGCCATCCTGCCTCTTTTCAGCCTCTCCTGGAGTGTTTGGGAAACAGCTGCTAGAACTTAAGATTTAAATTTATGGGGCATGTTCCAGTCCAGAGATGAACTTTTACTCTACTAATGAATTGAAAAGTTAAAGCAGAAGGGGGAAACAGAAATAAATGAATTGAAAAGTTAAAGCAGAAGGGAAGGCAGGAATTCTAGCCTGGAAATGGGGTGATGGTGGACGCTGGGTAGGTCCTGGCTCAGCCAAATACATCAAAGGAGAAAGAGAGGTCCTTTCAACCCCCACTGAGCACTGTATTGCTGGGAGGTGGTCTCCTGGGGAAACAGAGAACAATCCTGGGGGGAGGGTGAAGGCTTCCCTCTCTTCTCTCTGTTTCTTTCTCTGTCTCTTTCTTTCTCATCTTGCCTCTCTTGGTATAGTGCTAGGAATTTAACCTAGGATCTTTGTACTGAGCTATACCCCCAGCCCTTTTTTGTTTTGAGAGTCTCACTAAGTGACTCAGTTGCCCAGGCTGAGCTCAAAATTATGATCTTCTTGCCTCAGCCTTCTAAAGTGCTGGGACTGCAGTTGTGTGCCACCAGCCTGGCAAAGGCATCAAAGTCACATCCATTGCTACCTGAGAAGTCCTGGAGATTTCAGATTCAGTAAATTGCAGGCCTCTGAGAGGAAGCATCCAGAGTGCTTTGCTGTCTGAAGGTCCTTGACAATTGACACCTGGGCGCAGGTGAGATAGCCTTGAGCCCTTGGTATCTACAAGCATCCTTACCCATGCCACAACACTGCAGTATGTCTGCCTCTCTTGGCCCAAGAGTCATATAGGCACAGATGTGCCTTGTTTGTGTCTTCTTGCTAAAACTTCTGTTGAGCCCAAATCAGTCTCTCCAAGCAGGCACTGAGAGCTGAGATGTGGATGAGGTTCCCTGCAGCAGAGCGTGGGTAATCAGAACCAGATGGTGGCCGTGCCGTGCATTCCTGGCACCTGAGGTCATGTGCTGTAAGAGCCACTGGTGGCCAGAGATCCTTCTTGGAGGGTCCTAGCCCTGACCACGGCTCAGCAAGGGGCCATAGCAGTAACCAGGAGGCTACCAGCTCAGGACAGTGCCCAGGAGGTACCTTGGAGGTACCTGCTGACACCATACTTGCCTGTTTTACTTAGGTGGCTTTGCAGCTAGCTGTCAGATTTGGGCCTCGGCTGTCGTCAGATACAGGTGGTACACAGGCCTTGTTCCTTCCTCTTCCACTTGGGACAGGGCCCACAGCCTTGAAGCAGGGACTGATTTATAACCAGTAGTATTTTTAGGTCTTTAAGTAATAATGAGCCCCCCCCCCAACCCTGTCAGCCCTGAGTTGGAAGCAAACCTGCCGTGCTCTCCACTCATTGTGCTCAGTCAGCATCCCAGCTGCACCAGAGCGATGGCCTATGCCTTGGGTTAAATAGTAGCAATAAAGCTATCAGGCCAGGAACTACTGACCTGAGCCCTTTGCACACCTAGGGTGACCATGTCTACTGTAATAAGAGACAAGCATTGCCTCAGGATTTAGGCACAATCCAGCCTGCTGTTCATGTCACAGGACTGTGAGTCTTCTTAGGGCCTGATGTTTGTCCAGGTCCCTATGCAGGCTTCCAGTGTCTCCCTTCTTGCCTGGGAGAAACCTGGTGCTCCTGCTGGGCTGTCTCTGTCTTGATGCCCTCACCCATTTTCAAGAGTGGCTACAGTAGGTATGGAATCACTCCTTTTCCCACCAATTAAGGGTTAACACATCCAAACCCCTGAGCAGCAGCTGGATATCTTAGCCCATTGCAGGTACAGATACTGCATGGAGTGTGTGAGAAAAGTGGTATGGACTGCTCTCTCCCTGGTACCCACCTCCTACCTGTGAAGACCAAAGTGCAGGACTCCAGTGAACTCTTCCCCTGACCCTTGGCGCTTTTAAAGCAGCTCTCTCTCTTGGAAGCATCATAGGTAGGATGTTCTTATGAAGAGGGAATAGCAAGGATTTTGGGACAGAGCCCTGAGTAGATTCCAGTGAGGACCACTGTTTGGCCCCCAAGGGATTCCTTCTCTGCCATTGTCCCACGGCAGCATTCACCGGAGAGAAAAGGATGATTGATGTCAAGCAGCCTACTGATCTGCTTCCTAGCCACAGGTTGTGTCTGAACTAGCAGTGTAGCAGTTTCTAGGAGTCATGGAAGGGGCCCCTGAATCACACAAATGCCTACACACCAGCACTATAGCATCACAGGAATGCTCCAAGGCCAGCCTGTGCATATTGAGCAGAGAGGAGGTACGGAGGGGAAAGGGTATGGCCTAGTAACTGTGTACTTTGCACGCTGAGGGCCCCTTGGCCTTGTGGTCACAGAGTTCAGAGCTGTGTATTCTGCAGCATGTCTACCAGTTTATCTGTAAGTACAGGCAGGAAGCACAGGAGAGCTCAGAACCAGGACTCTGCCCAATAAAAACAAAGTAGGTGGGCCAAGCAGACACTAGGAGAAGAGTAGGGCCATGAGAGATGATCAGGGATAGTGGGCTGGGTGTGTTGGCAGGTTCTTGAATTGGAGCTGGACACTGGAGTGGTAGCTGGAAAGGCAGATTAGGCTGGTAGGGGTCCTTGGTAGGGATCTGGAGTGGGCATTGAGGTGGGGTGGGGGGCTACAAGGAAGCTGCAGGAGAGATAGCTGAGCTGAGGATCATGCTGGTCAGAACAGAACCTGACGTGTGACATCCCAGCCTGCACTGGGCTGACAGGGAGGCTAAGTTTGCTGCAGATTATGGGAAGGTTTTTATCAGGCCCATTCCACTTATCAGCAGATGGAGGAAAAGTCTGGATTGTGGATGAGCACTGAATTTAACAAATGCTTTTACTGCATCTCTCAGACTCGTGACTTTTTCATGCTATTAATTTAGTGAATTGTACTGTTCAGTATTTTTTCTTTAATGTCAAAACAACCAAATAAAGCCAGCACAATGGTACATGCTTATAGTACCAGCTGTTTGGAAGGCTGAGACTGGAGGATATCTGAGCCCAAAAATTCAAGATTAGCCAGGGAAACATAACAAGATCCTATCAAAAAGGGAAAAAAAGAAGTCCTGCTAGGTGACATGGTACACACCTGTTATCCCAACACCCTGAGAGGCTGAGGCAAGAGAATTGCAAGCTTGAGCTCAACCTGGGCAAGTGAGACCTTGTCTCAAAATAAAAGTAAAGGAACTGAGGTATCTCAGTGTGAAGATCTTCAGTTCAATCCACAGTACCACAAAACCATAAAACTGCTGGCTCAGTCAGAGCAGTTCAGGGCTGTGGCCTGATCAGCACCAGCCCCTTTCTGCTGCTTGGCTTTGCTGTTGGTATGATCAAGAGACCCAGAATTAGGAAGTCAACATCCTCTTCTCTCCCAATTGCTGGATAAGTCTGGGCGGGTGTTTTGTTTTGCAGTGCTGGCAATCAAACTCAGGACCTCATACATGCTAGGATAGTGTTCTAATGTTGAACCATATGCCCCAACCAGTAATCTGCTTCTTTTTTGTTATTGTTTTTGTTTAAGACTGAGTTTTGCTCTGTGTTCCAGAATGGCCTCCAAGCCTCCTGCCTCAGCCTCCTGAGCACGGAGTTTGCAGTCATGTGCCACCGTGCCTACCTAGGAACCTGCTTTTTGAGTAGTCATTAGTCTGCTTTTTCCACTACAGGCAGGAATTTTCTTTGAGGAGAAGGTTCATTTTTCTTGGTGGACTTACTTAAGTTTCTTGATTTTAGCAGAAGCTACGTTTTTCTAAGAATTTACAAGCTAAAATATTTATAAGAGATTTTCTTAA